AGTAGAAACAATTAACCGATTAATAACTCTGCAAATTAATAAATGACAGCTTTGTTTATTGCTTAATCTACTTATTCAATTTTTTTTTGTTTGAAGTTTTTTGTTTTGTAAATTATCCAGTGTTCAATTCCATAAGCGCAAACCTGCGAGAGGTTAAATTAATTATTGGGCATTATTGACGAAAAATTGCAAGCTAATTTAGTTTAAACAAAATATAATCGGAAAAATGAAATATGGGGAGTCAGTGCTTAGAAAATGGCAAGTTTATTCCGAAAAATTGAATTGTTACTTTTGTTTTTGTTGCAAATGTTTTGCATCTGATAAACTTTGAATGTTGAAGATATGCGTGGTTAGGGTTATGGATATGGAACAAATATGAAAAATGAAAGCAAAACTTACTTTAGAATGAAAATCTTAAGATTTTTGTTATACCTAGTGGTGTCCATACTCTAAATTTAATAATAATTAACTATGCAGAAATATTACATATCACATATAATTAGTTTTTTCCAATATAGTTCAAGAAATGTGTAATTTCTGGTCACTTTTTACTGATTTTTGAACAATACTTCTAAAATACGTTGAAAATTTAACTTTAAAACCCGATACTCTGAATATGTCGCGAAAGCAAGGATAAATACAATTCGGCTCTTACGATATAAATAAGGAGAAGTTTACGACGCAATTTTGGATATTGTAAATAATGAAAAATTAAATTAAATTAAAATTTGAAAAATCCAACATGAAATATGAGTATTTTGATTGAAATTGAAAAGCTAATTTTTTTAGCTCTCTTGGCATGAGTTGCTCAATAGAATAAATTGCATAATAAATAAGTAAAATGTTTCAAAACCCAAATATTATTATAACACATACATTAAAAATAATTGATAATTAAAAAATATTTGATTATAATCAACCCGCGAATTTCCTCGATTTTTTAAATAAATTTAAAATCAATGTATTTTATACGCTTTTAGATTATATTTAATTTTTTATGTACTAAATTCAGAATAATTAAAAATATTTTTTTTAAAATATGTAAATATTTATATAATTTACATGACAAACTGTTAAAACAGTTAAAATTTAAAGAGGGGGGGGCGCTAGAAAAAAAGTTGCATGTGGGCGCTAAGGACCCCAGGACCGGCCCTGTATGTATGGATTCAATATTTCGTCATATCATTTTTTGCCAATTAATCGCATTTTTAGTTTAGTAATCATGCGACTTATTAACTTCCCTAAGGTTAGTTATAGTAATCGCAAAAAAATCAAGAATGAAATTTTTCATATATGTTTACATTTCTAAACATTTTGGCTTACCTTAGAAAAAATATATGTATGTTTGTGCGCGTGTGTGCGAATACAAATTTTCGTCGACTATTTCGGGAACGCAGATCAGCCGATTTGAATGATTCTTATCGATATGATTCATTCCTATTGATAAGGAGATTAGTTTTTGACAAATGCGGGTCCAGCGGTTTCAACTTTTCAAATTAATTAATTAATCACTTTTTGTTGATTATTGATAATTTTTATTCCTCGAACGTATAATTATATGATACGGGAAGTTTCAGCAATTTGCCTTAAGGCACAATGTGACACAAAATTCATTCCTACAAAGGGGATGACAAATTTTTAGAAAAATACTCTAGTATTATTTTAATATAGTATTGCCAGATTACGCTATGTTCATTATTAAAAAATAAATTTTGTAAAGATTATAAATGATCTTGAACGAAATAAACGATTTGTAAATATTAGTCGCTCCATTCGATAACTGTGCATGGTGCTCTGGTAGCTCGTCAGAAATGATTTCAGCACTATGCAAAATAATTAAAAGCAGATTTTATTAAATCCCATCTGATTTTGAATTTACATGAACTTGATCCATGTTGGAAAAGGTCATTTTAAATAAAATTTTCAATAAAATAATTCATATTATAAAACATTTAATTATAATATGATTTTAAGACTCATTAGTATAGCATATTTAAAAATTATAATTAAAATAATATTAATTTAAAATAATTAAAAAATATTGCGTATATTATGTAACCTGGTCAAATACAATTTATTTTAGTTTTAATCTTATTTCCATAATCAATTGTAATATTATAAATAACAAATAAGTGTAAACTCAAATGCTGTTTTCAAATAAAATTAAACTATTAAATATTTTAAGATTTTTAAGAATTTGATTTAATTTCAAATTAATTAAAATATCCCGAGACCGACTGTGACAACTGCTCGATTTTACCTTTCTGAATTACCAGGGCATCAGCAAGAATTTGAACAAAATCCGTGTCTTGTCTCCTTGTATTTCCGTACGGTTCAATCGAGCTATGGAATTGGTTATTCAGCACATCAGCGTTCGATTGGAATCAATAACTAATTAAGCAGAGAAAACTAAATTTGTTACGCGAAAAATTCTTTTAATAGTTGGAAAATGAGGAAATGTAAAATGTTCACAATATAACTATGAATATACATATGTACTTTAATAATATGATTCCATTTGTTTCTGAGTAGAATTTTCGCAAAACGTTGATCGTGAACTACATTGTGTATCCGATGTATAATTATTTTGCACATGGTCATCTTAGGGTAGGTCAGTATAAACAAGGGACTAACACTATCCGTTTCAATAGAAGGTACCGGCGGAATAGGGGAACAGACGCTATTCTCACAATACAAGCGAGGCTACGCACGACCGCGATGCTCCATAGACTTGTGTGTGAATATTTGAGCGTTGCTTGTTTGTTGAAAATTCGAATAATCCGACTAGTGTGGTATGACATCGTGCCTTAAGGCAAATTGCTGGAATTTTCCGTTACATAATTAAATATTCGAAGAATATTAAATGTTTTCAAATGCATTATCATAGATGATATTTTATATATGTGTAAGCTTGAGCCATTTTTTGCATATTTTGCTCCGTATCTCCGAAACGGCCGGACCCGTCTTTGCCAAAAACTATTTATCACATCTCCCCATCATTACGAACTAAATGTTTGTTTAATAATTCAAATCGACGGGCTTATTCTCTCAAAAACTTAATTTAGATTTTCTGCACTTCTTGCTCCGTATCTCCGAAACGGCTAGACCTGTCTTGCCAACAACTAATAAGCACTTCTCCCCTTCAGTAGGAATCGAATGTTTTTTGAATATTTCGAATCGGTTGAACCGTGCACCCGCAATCGTGGACGAAAAATTGTATCCGCACAAAACGCCCACACAACCATTATTTCTAATAAAGTATTCCAAAATTATCAAAATTATCAGAAATCTCTGAAATGTAATTAGACGATTACAATAACTTACCTACCGCAATTTAAAAATGTTAATGAAAATCATTTGTGATAAAATTAAATTATATACAGATATCCTTATTATAGTATTTAATGTACCAAGAATTTATTACAAATATATAATCTCTACGAGTGTTAGATTTTGTAATTTATTATTTGTATTCAAATTAATCGCAAAACACAGGATTAAAAATTGTGAAAAGAGGAAATTCGGGAAATTAAAAAGAAAAGAAAGCCGAGACACAGGCAATGTTTTGAAATGAAAATAATTACAGAGGAAAAAAATATTTACAAAGTGATCATGCAATATATATGTCGAATTTTGGCCATTATGAGAAATGTGTTAAAGTTAAGTCGCAAAGTTAGCTTTTTCTTTTATAAGAGTAATTGCATTAACCAATTAAAGGCAATCACATTATGTACTAAATTTTTACAATAATCTCAAACATGTTCGTTGTCAAGTCAATTTTCACTTCTTTTCAGGGCTTAGATTATTCAATGGTTGTTTAACCAATATCTAATATCTAAATAAAATGCGTTGTAAATATATATTAGTTGTTGGTGTATCAAGCTATACATTGAGATATGCAATAACTGTTATGATAAACTTCTTTATATTAGATATCACAAGAATTTAAATGTAATAATTGCGTACTTTAAACTTAATGTGTCTTTAAACATATACGATAGTATCGTAATTCGTTGGAGCTACCTTGCTCCATATTACATTTCAGCTAAATGCTGCATGGTGCCCTAATATTTTGCCAGAGTGTGTGCAAAAGTTGCGCATAAGCACGATGTCGGTAAATGGCATCAAGTAATCAAAATCATACAAAAATTGTAAGATTAAAGTTTTTGCGTTCATGTGCGAATTAAACATTTTAATTTTCTTATGATTCCTTTGGTTTTTATTTCAGAAGTATATCCGAATAGATATATTAGAAATCTTTTCGTTCAGGAAAACGTAGGTTTTGCAGAAAATCGCACATAACACGAAGGCAGATATCATAACATTATATACATATATTTACTACTTAAATTAAAAGTTTATTGAAAAAACCGTAATTCTACTTTAAAATGTAGTTGTTTTGAAAATCCGTAACGGACAAACTGATTATTACTAGGGAGCTGCTAAACAATACTGGTGATGATTGCACAAGAAAGAAAATTCTGGCTTAACAGTAAGACAAAATACGAAATAGAAAGGTAAAAAAGAAAATTCAGCATAAGAATTTCTTGTTTAAAGCATTATATTTTGTTATATCCATAAACTTCGTATAAAAGATAATAAAGTGTCGTGTTAGATATTTCCGACAATAAAAGTCATTATAAATCATTTTGGTGTTTATAGCTATTGTTTTCAACCTATTTTCATGCCGTCCTGGTGGTGTCGCCCACTTTTTTGTGTGATTTGCTTTATGATTAATCCCTCGTATTTAATGACAGTATTTCATATCCACATAGACAAATGCTCAAATACCATTTAATTTACTTTCCTCCCAGCTCTCTGGTAAATTAACAGAATTATTGCTGATCAAAAATACTAAATGGGCATAGTAATGTTAACTGCTCTTCTGTTCTCATCATATATTTAACATCCATTTATTAGTTGCTTGTATCGTCAAATAATTAAGGTTATTGATAAAATAACTCTTGTTTTAAAAATAATAACAAAAATTTTCTTACTAGGTCACTGTGACTGGGGCAGCAAGTGGTTGCGGCCGATATTGCGCCTTGATGCTAAAGCAATGTCCATTGATTGACGAGTTGGCGTTACACGACGACAAGGGTTGCGGTCTTCCAGCAGTAGCACTTGATCTCAGCCACATCGACACCAGAACGACCATCACTGCCTACGAGGGACCCGCTAAGCTTAAAGCTGCAGTAAAGGTAACAATTCATATACTAAATTTTTATAATTCGGTACTGTTTGGTCCATTATTAGAATATTAAGACCTTAATGCAAAATTTACTTAATTCAATTCTTTACTTTAAAGAGTGAGAAGATGGAGAAAAGATAGTAAATTCATAGAATTAGAAACTCTTATTGCAATTACTAATAACTGAATTTATCGTCCACTTTTTAGAAGGCGGACATTGTAGCTACATGCAGCGGTCTTCCACCTAACTCACATTTAACCGACATACAGCTATTCGAATTAAATGCATCAGTTGTTCATAAAATTGCATTGCATTGCGCTGAAGTCTGCCCGAGAGCTATGTTCTGTGTCATCACATCTCCAGTGACATGTCTTGTACCAATGGTCAGCGAGGTGGGAAGGATCAATAAGTATTTATATAATTATTTCAAGATCTGAATTATTATTTGTTTTTTTTTATTTAGGTATACAAAAAGCATTGCGTCTATGATCCACGTCGCATATTTGGTGTCACCTCTGTAAGTTCTATGCGGGCCAATACTCTTGTAAGCATGGTGACAGGGGCGAAACCTAGTGAAGTTAGCATACCACTGTATGGGGGATATGGAAGAACACTCACCGTTCCTGTTCTCAGCAGCGATCAAAGCTGCTGCAGGTTTCCTCCGGTAACTAACTGAATCAAGCACATGATACAAAAAAATAAAATACTGATGAAGTCCACAATATCTATCCGACCAGTTGTGAACTATTAATTGGTTGTGGAAAAAAATTCAATTGGCTGTATTTATGAATTCTCAATTCTCATAGGGTCAAGTGGATTGCTTAACAAAACTAATCCGTGATGCAGATGACACAATTTGTAATATGAAAAATTTCAAAGGCGCTGCAGATCTTTCTCAAGGGTTTGCTGCTGCCAGATTTATCGTAAACATCGTAAAAGGTAAGTTATTGTTGTCAGTAAGAACAACCCTTTTCCAGTATATGAAAATTCAAATTCAACAATGCATGTTTTGAATCAAAATGACGATTTTTGCAATGCAGGCATTCGAGTGGGGCCTACGTGCGTAGATGGAGCATTTGTTAGACAAACTATTCCGGATATAGCGAAGATTGCTCCGTACCTTAACACACAAGTCGATGTTGATTGCAAGGTAAGCATAGTAAACATTTATACATTTGATGCTGATTTTTTAGTTTTTTTTTGTATTGATTATGTTCAGATTTTACATATGATTTAGTTCTTTAGTTATATAAATTCAAAGTAAGTTGAGATATGCATTTATTTCTTTACTTCGAAGATTGAGATTGAGACTTGAGATCATCTTACTTAATTCCTGCAAATTTTATTATTCTAAAGTGGAGCGTTAAATTGTGATTTAAAACATTTTTATTGCGATTGGCGTAATTTTTATTGTGATTTTCTTATATGTGATAGAATTATTTGAATTGTTTCCAAAAGACAAAGTTGCTATGAAATTCGACAGTATGACATTTAATTCGATAGTAAAGAATCCTTTGTCCATAAGATACTCATACTAAAAATCAGATTGTCAAATTTTGATTTTGCCTTTTAATATTTTCAATGACTCATATTAAACAATTGTTCAGAGTATTTCTATCTTATCTAAAGATAAATTGCTACTGACATATAGTTATGAATAAATGGGATCTTTTAGGGAGTTGTCGAATACGCCCCTCCGACCCTATCTCAGCAGGAACAAAAAATGATCGATGAGTCAAGAGCTGAATTATTATATCTCATAAAAACGGGTGAGAGTTACGTAACATGTGAACATGTTAGTATGAGACGCATCAAACGCATGGTGGAAAAGCAAAGTGAAGCTGATGTCTCACAAGTTCTACCATTTAAAGAACAACAGCAAGCTAAGCAATAAATTTTAATATTTTAAGCACATATTTGGAAACAGTAATTTTTTAATAATTTTGAAAATATACATCTTATTTCAATAAATACTTACTAGATCATACGTGTTTTACCCTTACTATATTACGGGGCCTGACTTGCTGAGCAGGTTGATATCCAAAATGTTTTCTCACAAATGGTATATTACAGGAGAAAATTCATGGTAATTATAGCCATGTGAATTAAGATCAGAGTTTTGTGTAAGATATTTTCGACCTTTACATAGATACACATTGGCCTCAATAATGAGTGTTTTATATATGTATCTCAAATTTCCATTGTCTGAAAAGTTTATCATGTATGAATATATGTTATTCATTAATTTTTGGTTTTCGTAGCAATAAACGTGACCTTAGAAAAAATTGATGTATGTGTGTGTATATGTGTATGTGTGTGTGCGCGTGTGTGTATGTGTGTGTGTGCGGATACAAATATACAAATTTTTGTCGACGATTTTGGGAACACCGATCAACCGATTTGAATAATTCAAAAAACATTCGAATCGTATTGATAAGGAGACGTGCTAATTAGTTTTTGGCAAAGGTGGTCTAGCCGTTCCAAAGATACGGAGCAAAAAGTGCAAAAATTTGGTAACTTCGTTAAATTTTTGGAAAGGCAGGCCTAGCTGTTTCGAAGATCTATCAAAAAAAGTAAAGAAAAAGCCATTTGGCGGTCGAAAATGATCATTAGACTTATGCACATCAAATTATCAGATATTTTATGGAAATTTAAAAATGCGTATCAATTTTGTAGACATTTCTATGGGCTCCGTAACATCGGCGACGCTTACGCGTTTCGATATTTTGTCTCTATGCTTTGTTTTTTCAAAGCAAAGCGATTGCTTTGAAAATAGTTCAAAATTTCCAAAATATACCAAAAGAAAAAAAAAATTTTTTTCCCAAAAGTTTTTTTTCCAAAAATTCAATTTCTTTCAAAATTTAAAATTTCTCAAAAATTTATTTGTTCAAAGTTAAAAAAAAATTTTTTTTGGTACGGGAAGTACCAGCAATTTGCCTTGGCACGATGCCATAATTAGATTGTAAGAAACTTTGGGAGGGCTCAACTATGGCTAGAGAGGACATTTACTCTTCTTTTCTATGAGTGGTGGCATGCTAAAATAAAGTACCAAAAGGTTGGAAACCACTGTAGATACATAATATACTAAATATTATCTAGCATGGACATTATCTGAATATATACGAAAAGATAAATATTTCGTAATCGTAAGTAAACACGCTGCTGCTAACTTTTTTAAATTAACTAATAAAAGCAAATAAAAAATGTTTCGCAGTATGTTTTGCCATTACTCGCCATGAGCGCCTAAAGCGTATCAAGTGACAGACCTTATAGAGTAAAATCTTCTGAGTAAAATTATTATATTGTCTAAGAAGTAGGGTCAACTGCTAACTAAATGATTAATACTTTTTTATGTTATGTCCCAGATAACATAATAATACATAAAATATAAAAACAACAAACAAACAAATATGAAAATAAAATTTATAATAAACCAAAAGCATAGATAAAATAAGAGTATGTATAAGCTATGTGTCATGTCTAGGATTGTGTTTTAACTAGTCTATGGAAGCGCATTCGTTTGACATTTTGACAGTTGCGTTTTCAGATCTTTAATGCAAGATGTTTGTTTGTTGAATTTTAATTCGAGATTGTAGAAAATGGTTTTAAGCTAATAAACTTATACAAAATACATTTTAATATGGCGTCTTCAGTAAATATTTCTATCGAAGCGCCAATTGAGAATCAAATTCAAGAAATTACCTTCGATGGACAAGAAATTTACCAACCGTTAGTAAATTTTATACATCAGTATTAGCTCTTAATCTATATTTCTAATATTTTTTTATTGTTTAGTCCTCTTTCATTATCGGAGAATCTTGCTCGTTTCGCCCAACGAATAGATTTTAGTAAACAACCTGACAATGATGTTCCAATCAAAAAGGAAAATACTGATACTGACAGCAAAACTGGTATCAAAGAAGAAGACGTAAAAGATCCAGCTCATTTTCAATCGAGTCTTTGGCCATGGGACTCAGTTAGAAATAAATTAAGAGAAGCACTTACAGAAGTTTGTGTCTTGGCAGATGTTCTTGCGATTGCTAAGGGCAATAAATACATGGTCAGTTTGTACTTGACTTTTTTGAAATAATGTTTTAAAATCATCGGTCATGGTAAACAAATTGAAGTCCAATTCTGATAAAGAATAGTATCTAAATGTTACTTGAATTCTAACAAAACTGTAGTAACATGATCGTCTAAGCAATGTATCATAATGGTCATTTGCCATTCATTTTAAAATTTCATTTTATTGAAAATATAATAATTAACTTTATTGCAATGTCTTCAATGCAACTGTTTTACTTATTTATAACTATATTGATTAATTTCCAAATAATTATCTTTGTGTATGTTTAAATTTATGTTTATTTATCTGAATCTTTATTAAATACATATATCTTATTATCGAAAGGTTTTGGATCCAGTGCCACAAGAACCAGCTGATGTTAAACCAATGGTCAGTGTTTATGCTCGTAAAAAAGCATTGGTTGGGGCTGGAACAGTTTTACTTACAGGAGTTGAACGACTAAGAACATGTCATAGTGAAGTGCAAAGAAATTCCAGAAACACACCTGACTTTCATATTGAATTATTAAGGTTTGTTATCCAGATTTGCAGATTGCTTTTTATAATGTCTTATTTTTATAACATATACTACTAATTTGCTAACAAAGGTTTGCTCAGCAAAAAACTAATTGTTATTTTATTTTGGTCACAACATATTTTAAGAAAAAGAACTCCAAATGATTCAATCCATTTAAAACTTAAATTGAAAAGAAATAATGTAACAAGATCACATTTTATTTTGAATTGTTTCTATGCAATTCTTAGAGATAAGTTTACTAAAACTTCTTTTATATCAAAATCTTAATAATTAGAATAGATAACTAAACAATAATCATGTTTTTGTTCAGTATCTTTGAAAATATTAATAGTAAATGCTTAACTATTTTATTTAAACCTTGAGAATAAAAGTTGGAAGGTTTTATGTTATTTGAAATTTAAAAAAATGTATTTTACTGATTATAGGCTGCGCCAGAATTGGCGTTTAAAAAAGGTTTCAAATTCTATAATTGGAGACTTGAGCTATAGAACTGCAGGATCAAAATATACCCAAACTGGTATGTTTGAGGTAACCAAAGCAGAGGAAGAGCCTGCCAATAATACGAACAGCCCTGATACCGCCTCAAGTGGCAGTAGTAAAAATAATTCTGCATTAAGAGTCACCGTCCCTAGTGAGCTACAAGGTGTTGCTTATATAGAAGTTTTATGTCAAAAAGGTAAATTCACAAAATATGTGTATTAAAAAGTTCACATTTGATAGATAATGTTTATATCACATCAAAATGTTTTAATTTTGGCATGTAATGGTGATCAGTACTACTTTAAATATTATTTGCAAAAATATTTTGTAAATATTAAATATATATGAAATAAATATTTAATCGTAATGCAAATAATAAAATTCTTTAAAACAGAATCCAGAAAAATCAAAATATCTACATAAAAATATAATATCATTCAGTGCCTTACTCAAAGTAGGCAAAATGAACAGGAATAGAATTAAAAAAATTAAAAATAAATTTGTCACAATTTTAATCATAAAGTAATGTGAGTTTGCTGTAAAATGTTGTTTTTTGTTTTTGTTTTTTTTTAACTCTTACTATGAAACATATGTGGTGTAATAACATGTATGTATTTTTTCACTCAAAGAATTGGCTGTGATTCTTACTAAAATATATATATTTCTAATTTAAAATTGCACTTTGCTCTTTGATTGATCTTTAAAATAAAGTATGTTCTTTAACTCATAAAATCTATGTAACACATCTGTGTATAAAGAAACAAACAGATCAATCTAACTATTTTTATAGATCAAGAAGATTTATGCTCGGCAACCATAAGTCTCCTGAACCCTGGTCCAGTAGCCACACAGCCCGACTTGCATTGGCAACAGCGATTAGAAGCTGCTCAAAATGTATTGTTTTGTAAAGAGCTCTTTAGTCAATTAGCTCGGGAAGCTGTGCAATTGAGGGCACCAGTTCCTCACATGGTAGTCGGAAATCAAATTATGGCAACTGTAAGAATATACCTAAGAAACTAAGAATTATTTATCATTTTTAATCATGTTTTTATTTATTTTAGGTTCTTCCTGGAATTCAACTTATTATTGGTCTATGCCATTCAACAGGAGGGGGAACAGGTTCTGGAAATCCAGCACAGCAAAAGACTGAACATGATCATGTATTAGAACATTCATTACATCAATTATTGAGGGAAGTACATCATAAAAATACACATCATCCATTTCCTCATCCAAGCAGTGGACCATTAGGGCCAAGCAGGAAAAGAAGTTTAGCAGGACCTACAGCAGCAGACAGGTTTTGATTAAATTTGATATGCTGTTTAATTTTTACCAAACCTTCTATTAGATAAAAAATACTAACATTTTTGCAGATATGAACTTCTAGAAATGACAAAAAGTCAGACCTTATTAGAACAAATTATTCAACAAGCACAACACTTTTTATGAGAATGCGTACAGAATATGTTTTGGATACAATAGCTAAGGAAGTCAAAGATCCATTAATAGTTTCTCATTGGAATGCTTTGAATAGCCCAACACAAAGTTGTGTCAAGATTAATATTATGACTCATGGGTATGTAAACTTTGTTTTTAATTAAAAGATTTAATATTAACATGCTCTTCTACCCCAAAAATTGTAAAAAGAACTATTTCTAGAATTTGTATATCATTTTATTAATACAATACTTTTTTCTCTTTTTATTTTTTTTTCTCTCATTATCATATGCTACATATTTTATTCATTAATCTTCTAGTAAATTGATTGTATGACTTTACATGTTACATTTGAGAGTAAACCAGATATAATTAAAAAAAAGGC